ATTATTACTTCTGCATTTATTATATATACATATGTATATCATTTGTGAAATTTCCTGTACATTTGCCTAATCAAAAATTCCTCACGCAGGCTGGCTAAGCCGCCTCCTGGTGCATAAATGTATTTTTTACAAACGATGAGTTCTTGCACTGGTTCTGCTAAATTTATCATCCTCCTTTTCTTGGTGTGCTGATAACAAACTCTGTCCGATAATTCGAATCACAACTGGAGCTAGCGACCTTGACAAGCATATCTGAAGACCATATCTGTGTGAAATAATAGACCAACAGGATTGTAGGCAAGCCATGTGTATGGTGTTATTTTATGGTGCAAATTGCCTTTATCTTTCAGACGTAGTGGAGTGATATTTTTCAGTGCAGTCTCTGTGTTTCATCCCTTAGCTGTAAGCACAGACCGGACTATGCATGCGGGTAGGAGCGGGAATTGTCAGTACAGCCTCCTACCCGCCCTGTATTGAAAAGACATGTAGCTAATTTGCTAGGAGGATGAGTGAAAGGAAAAGATAAAGAGAGTAAATAGGAGAGGAAGTATTTAATGTACCTGAAGGCATGAAAGACCATATCTGAAGGCATGAAAGACAGTGAATATTCATCTTCTCCTTGTTAAACTATTCATTCTATCTCCCCAACCACTTCCCGTCCACCTCTCTGCTCTTTCTCCCCCGACTCCTTCCTTCCGCCTCCTATTTTTCCTGTTTTCCCACTTTCCCTTTTTATGACGACCAAGAAGGACGACTTTAGAATAATTGTTATGAAAACACTACTGACGGGGTTTTTGGATCTTCCATGCAATTTGATGCGCGCCTCGTACTGTGCATCATGAATTATCAGAAGCCGCTTCACTCGTTCACTCTGGTGAGAGAAGGCATCCACCCGCGGGATATGAGTGTGCTTGCGAGCTCAATTCTTTCAGTTGCATTTGGATATTCTCGTGAAAATTCCAACATCCTAGCTTTTGTGGTTCCCAGATTATTAAAAGTTGTACTAGGATTTCCACGCGTCCGTGCATGAGAGTTTTGGCGCTGAGATTCATAACCTTAAGAAGAAATGTTACCCCGAGCGTTGGGTGATTAGCCGGGTTGAGGAGGAGGGGGGAAGGGTGTAGTACAGGTTTCGATCGCAAAAGCTCCGGGTAGGATGGGGGCTGAGATGGGCAGCTATTCAGTTAGTTTTTTGCACTACTTTACCACGAAAAACGCTGAACTACGAAACCATGGAAAACCCCAAACTGCGAAGAACCTAGACCCTCGCAATTCGGTCCCCAGGCGTCGCAATTCGGGGCCCGAGCCGCCTGAACCAGGTCGAGCTTTAGTAATTGCACGAGGTGGTGTGGTCACTATATTCGGCTGGTCTGGTTGGTGTACGAATAGCGAAAACTGCAGTGCGTTGCGGGAATGGTTACCCGGGGTGTTGGGTAACGTGTCATTAGGAGGTGGTGTGGTGTGGGTTTCTACCGCGGAGGCTCGGGGGGCAGGCAAGGGGCTGGAATAGGCGACCAAAACTTAGTCTGGCCGTGGAATATGCGTCCATTTGTGGGTTTAGTGTTTCACCGGATGTCGGATAACGTAGATTTTGGAGTTAG